AATAGCCTACATCTGTGCTTTTTATGACACCATTTCTTAATTCCTTAATTCCTAGGATGACTCAACTGAAGCTGGCCTATTTTTAAGTAAATTGGTCTATTTTAGGAAAATTTGCCCCTATCATGAAAACAAGCCAAAAGCAGATTGCACAAAGGCCCTGAATAAGGGATACCCAAAACCTGCTCAAAGAATTACATTATCAGCATCCATGAATAAAATCAAATATATAGAGGAGAACATATGAAAAGGACACAGGAGCCAGACTGCTGGCACACCTGATAGCCAATTACAGGACGTGAGCATCAAAAGAAAATTAACTCAACAAAAGGAAAACAAACAATCTGCTTCTTAAGTAGGCAAAGGTTTTGAACAGCGATTTTATCAGCTGAAGATATACATATAACAAGTAAGCACATGAAAAGATGCTCAACATAATAAGCCATTTTGCGTGTCTGTGTGTGCCTGCTCAGTCATATCCAACTCTGCGACTCTATTAGGAAAATGTAAATTAAAAAGCCACAAAGCACTCTATCTACTATCTATCAAATTGGTTAAAAAAAAAATGACATCAAGTGGTAGTGAGGATACACAGTAACTGAGATGCTGACACGCTGCTGGTGAGAAAGCATATGTGAGTGCTCAAGTCCCTTCAGTCATGTGACCCCAGGGACTACAGCCCACCAGGTTCCTCTGTCCACTGGGACTCTCCAGGCAAGAATACTCCAGTGTGTTGCTGTTCCCTTTGCCAGGGGATCTTCCCGACCCAGGGATCGAACCCACAGCTCCTGCACCTTCTACAGTGCAGAGGACCACTTTACATCTGAACCACCAGGGAAGCCTGGTGGGAAACTTTCAAAAAGGCACAAATCAACTGGAAAACAGTTAAATACACAATTACTATAAAGATCCAACAATCAGATCCCTAGTTATATTTATCCAAGTAAAATGAAAACCTATACACAAATGTTCACAAGAGCTTTACTCCTAATCATCAAAACCTGGAAATTCAAATGGTGTCTCAACCAGAGAATGGATAAACTGTGGTACAGCCAAACAATGTAACAGTATTTAAAATAAAAACAAACTCTTGATACATACCACACCTTAGACAAATCTCAACTGCACCATGCTATTTGAAAGCAGCAGACTTAAGTGACTACATACTGATTTCATACATAGTGATTTCATATCACATATTTTGGAAAAAGCAAACCCTAAGGTTAAAAACTGTGGAAAATTCTGAAAGAGATGGGAATACCAGACCACCTGACCTGCCTCTTGAGAAACCTGTATGCAGGTCAGGAAGCAACAGTTAGAACTGGACATGGAACAACAGACTGGTTCCAAACAGGAAAAGGAGTACGTCAAGGCTGTATATTGTCCCCCTGCTTATTTAACTTATATGCAGAGTGCATCATGAGAAACTCTGGGCTGGAAGAAGCACAAGCTGGAATCAAGATTTCCGGGAGAAATACCAATAACCTCAGATATGCAGATGATACCACCCTTATGGCAGAAAGTGAAGAGGAGTGAAAAGTTTGGCTTAAAGCTCAACATTCAGAAAACTAAGATCATGGCACCTGGTCCCATCACTTCATGGCAAATAGACGGGGAAACAGTAGAAACAGTGTCAGACTTTATTTTTCTGGGCTCCAAAATCACTGCAGATGGTGACTGCAGCCATGAAATTAAAAGACGCTTACTCCTTAGAAGGAAAGTGATGACCAACCTAGACAGCATATTAAAAAGCAGAGACATTACTTTGGCAACAAAGGTCCGTCTAGTCAAGGCTATGGTTTTTCCAGTGGTCATGTATGGATGTGAGAGTTGAGAGTCCCTTGAACTGCAAGGAGATCCAACCCGTCCTTCCTGAAGGAGATCAGTCCTGGGTGTTCATTGGAAGGAGTGATGCTGAAACTGAAACTCCAATACTTTGGCCACCTCATGTGAAGAGCTGACTCATTTGAAAAGACCCTCATGCTGGGAGGGATTGGGGGCAGGAGGAGAAGGGGATGACAGAGGATGAGATGGTTGGATGGCATCACCGACTCCATGGGCATGAGTTTGAGTAAACTCCGAGAGTTGGTGATGGACAGGGAGGCCTGGCGTGCTGTGATTCATGGGGTCGCAAAGAGCCGGACACGACTGAGTGACTGAACTGAACTGAGCTGAACTGAAGGTTAAAAAACAGACTGGAAGTTGGCAGGGGTGAAGCATAGGTGAACAGTTTGAAAACACAGGGGTAGCAAAGGGAATTCAGGGGAGTTGGGGAGGATGACAGGATTTTTTAATTGTTGTGGCAATTGTAAGGATCTATACATGTTAAAATTCAAAGAACTGTAAATCAAAGCATATGCTTCACCATTTATAAATTAATGAATTTAAAAAGAAAAATCAAGTTAAAATAACAACTGCAAAGGATCAAGTCTTTTAATCCCTTCAAATAGAAAACCAACTTAAAATAACCCAAGGTCTGAAAACACCTGGCTTAATCAACAGCATACATTTCCTGATGCAATGCAATGAGAATTTACCACTACATCTGGGGTAATCCTGCTCAAAGGGCTTAACATAATTTTGAGGAAATATCAGACAAGGCTAAACTGAGGCCATTCTACAAAAACTGGTTTAGACTCCTCAAAAATGCCAATTACACCTTTAAAAAAAAACTCAGGAGCAGGTTCAGATCAAAGAAGTCCAGTAAGAGAACTCCACACAACACAATCTTAGATTAAGGACTTTATTATAGATGGGATAAAAGACAAAATTTCAGTGTAGTCCACTGATTAGATAACAATATTGTGGCAATGTTAATTCTCTGATTTTGATTACTGCACTGTGATTATGTAAGAAAATTTCTTGCTTTGGAGAGGAAAAAAAAACAAGTATTTAGGGCGTTACTCATAAATGGCTCAGGAAAAAAAACATAATTTAAAAGACAAAGAAAAAAAATAAGGTTGTGTTTACATTTGGCAAATCTGAGTGAAGGGTTTCCAGGAATTCTTTGTACTATTCTGCAACTTTTGTCTGAAATTATGTCAAAATTCAATTATTTTTTAAAATAAACATCCTTCAGGCTAAAAATAACAGATCAAGTTATCTAAAGGTAAGAATCACCATGAACACATTTAATAAATTAAGAGTCATGGGAAAGCTCTTGATACTTACTCAAAACTGATCAGAGAACGGTGTTCCAACACAAAACCTGAATTCTGGGTTCTACTGTGGCAAGGAACTAGCCTGATGCTGTGAAGCATCTTAACTACTGAAGCAACTCTCCGCTTGACTGCTTCCCTGCTCATCAAGGGCCTTCTGCCTATAAAACAGTGGCTTGACATGCAGATCTGAATATAAAAAAATCACATTGACTTAGAAATTATTCCTATTTATAAACTGGGTTATAAATCAGGTTTCTGTGGTTCCGATTAATACCAGCATTTCCCAAATCGTATCAACTCTGGGACATCAACAAGACCATTTTGGGACCCATAAGCCTGGGAACTATCCTCTAAAATGGCAGATTTAGCAAGGCAGTATAACTGTGCACACTCTTGGCTAACAGCTTTTCTTTTAGCTATATTCCGTCATCTTGTCACAGCCTTCTTTCAACCAACAGATTTCATTACTCATAAAGACACAACATCAAAACAAGTAAGAAACACTAATTTTATCTCAGAAAACTGAAAGAAACTTAAATATGACACAAACATAATCATTTCAAGGACACAAAAAAGGGGGAGATTGTTTTTATTTTCATGCTTTTTAAAATCTTGACATAGAAGAGATAAAGACAGACCACAGGTAAAAACTTTAAATATGCAGACAGAAAAGAAGTCACTTTAGAAAGAACAAGGCTTTATTCATAACTTTAGGATTAAGGAGTCAAATCTTAAATAGGAAAGTGTTCCATTAAGCACTTACTCAACTTCCTTATTTAGTGATATATATAGAATTTATGAGTTGGCTCTTAGTTCTGGCATGCTTAGTTATCTTGCTTATAGAAATAGGATCTTAAAACTTCATTTTCGGAACACTTTAAAAACCAAACCAATGCCTTGCCTTCAAGGATATGAAAGGTATTTCCTATTTAAATCTGATTCATGGTTTTATAAAGCAAGATCACTTATATTATTTCATCATCCATATGCTGGATTCTAACATCCTTTTTGATGGTGATGTGTTCAATGAAACAAACTTATAAAGACAGAATTCCTTCTCAATTTGTAAACCAAAATTTTAAAAGCAAAATCCTTGTAGAGACAGGAAGACATTTTTATAACATAAGCAGCTACAACACTAAGCTGCTGGCACAGACCAGAACAATTAAGGAATAAATTATTATTTAACCTTTCAATACTGTTTGCTATATAACTTGTAAATATTTTAAATATACCTTCTTCTGCAACAAAAAGTAAGATTATCCCCAGCTTAACAGCTTTTGAAGATGTAAATATTACAAATTAAAAAAGGTAACCTTCCTACTGAATGTCCAATTATAAACTGAACCCCCAATTTTCCTATCCCAAGGATATAAAAATGATCTAAAGTAGATTAAAGTACCCTACAAGTTCATATTGAAAATGACTCTTCATATGCTCTTCCACTAAAGCAATCAAAATAAAAAGAATGTAAAAGCGTGTTTAGTGCTTGAAGGTTTAGGTAACCTCCAAGGAATCACAACTTGCAAGCTTTTAAACCCAGAGCTATACAGTATGTGAAAATACTAATGTCTCATAAAAAAAAAAAAAGCAAGCCAATAAACTTCTATTTGTAAATGGCCTAAATTTCAATAGTTCCATTCTCCATAATTTTTTATCTAAAACTTCAAAGCCATCAACTGTTTTCAGTTCTTCAAGTGAGCAACTGAAATAGTTGCATTTATTCAGGTTTAAAACTAAATTTCTCTTCTCTCACTGTGAAGGCATAGACAGAACAGAAAGTAAAAGTATTTTGTCCAACATCCTGACCCTAGAGATGTGGAAACCATATGCAACATGATCTCATGTCATCATCGATTCACCTTCACCACCAGTAGCATCTTGAGAAATGTGAAGGTCTTCAAGCATCTCAGCCAGACTAATTCGAGGTGCTCCTTCATCATCTGTGTCACTTTCCACAGGAATGGTTGAATCTAAGACAAAATATAAAGAGAATTTCAAATAAATACAAATATGGAAATATGCAAATACCTGCCCTCCCCATCATTACTACTATCTAACCATATTGTATCTGTAGCACTTATATCACATCCAGAGCAGGCATTTAAATATACATTGAATGACTGAACTTGCATAAATGTATGAACAACTACCCATTTGTATAGGGGTCAGCATACTGAGGGATCATGCTAGGATGCAAATTACATAAATGTAGCAAAGTAAACAATATTTTACTGTTGTGAAAGTTTGGGATTTTCTTTTAGGGGAAGATGGGTAAATGTTTAGAGTAGTTTTAGAACATATAATAAAAGTCGTTTATGCAATCGAAGTTTAAGATATCAAGATACTCATACTGCAGTAATTATTTATTTACAGAAGATACAACTTAAATACTCCTTATTCACCAACCTCTATAAATGTTCACATTTTTTCTAATCGCTTCATCTTCTTCAAGATCTTCAAGGAAATCTTGGTATTGCCTACAGAAGGATAAAGAAACATTTTAGTATCTCTCCTTTACCAAAAAGTATGACATTAATGTCTTCTTCATTTTCAGCATTACAAGGTAAGTGTGTTCCAAGTATTAAAATCTTTAAAAATAATAACTGAAGGTCAAATATGGATCTTAAATAAATACTGACAGGTTTTTGAAAAATATTTTCCTTCAAAATTACCTGATTAATAAAAAACAATACACACTTGAATATAAGTGAAAGTCACTCAGTCGTGTCTGACTCTTTGTGACCCCAATCACTATACAGGCCATGAAATTCTCCAGGCCAAGAATACTGGAGTGGGTAGCCGTTCTCTTCTGCAGGTGATCTACCTGATCCAGGAATCGAACCCAGGTCTCCCACATTGCAGGTAGATTCTTTACCAGCTAAGCCACAAGGGAAGCCCAAGAATACTAGAGTGGGTAGCCTATCCCTTCTCTAGCAGATCTTCCTGACTCAGGAATCAACCAGGATCTTCTGTATTGCATATGGATTCTTTACCAACTAAACTATCTGGGAAGCCACACTTGAATATAAGGGGACATTAAATATGACAATGAGAAGATCCCTTCATACTTTACCCTCTCCCCCCAAAAATGTATAGCCAAGTTGAAATACAAACATTTTTAAGACTATAGATGAAACAGTCAAATACATACTTATAGTATCTATTTAATATTATATATTTATACATACGTACTTATTTTAAACTACACTGAAACTATTTTTTAGAAATACTGCTATCTCCCACTCACATTTCAAGACACAACTTCATTTAAGCTTTTCATTTTTGTAAATATCAATATTATTAATGTCATCCTTAAGCCCACTCTTCCAATCATCCAATAAATTTTTCTACAACACAGCATCTTCATTTCTCCTTAAACTGAAAACAGCATACTTGGTATCAAAGAGCTGTTTTCTTTTATACTAAGTCATTAAGTACTCACTTGCTCTCTGTGATATCCACAAGGTTATTATTATACCTTGTGGATTATACTCTGGACCCACAAGAACTCATTATATTTTGAAATAAATCATCTAGAACAACACTGCAATTGTCAGGTCACAAATTAGGAAAAAATAACTAGATCTATGGTAAAGGTCATTATATCTGCTCATCCTGATCCAAACAACATATTGATAAGAAAACAAAATTAATATTGAGTGCAAGAAGCAACCGTGTGCTAACTATTTCTTGATGATATAAAAACCATAAAGATTTATCAAAAGGATTTCCTTTGAGACAACATAAAAAGTATAAATGAAGTGGGACCTTTCATCATCTGTATCCTTGTTTTCTTTATCTCTTGCAAGCTCTTTCAGTTTCCAGTTCCTACGACGCTGACGTTTGGTACGGTCATAGCTCTTCTTGATTAATACCTACAGAAATATTTGCAAAATTACAAAAAATGAGAACTAAGTAACAGGACCTCAGAAGCCAATAAAATTTTTTAAATGAAAAGATTATGGGAATGTCAGAAAGACCGCCAACTGATGATAGTGGTTATACCTCAAAAGAAAGGAGTACAGATCAAGAAGCAGTGTCAGAACTTTCAGCGTTTTTATTAATGTACTTAATATTTTATGAGAATGCATTTAGCCTTATGAGTGTAACTGCTAAATTTACTGAAATTTTCCAGTGACCGAGACTTTTTTATACTAAAAATTTCATGTTTCTGGTGGTTTTTTCCTTCTGTTACATCGAAGTTCAGTTTTCCGCTACCATTCAGGTAAGTCATTCTGAAACATTATCAAAGGAAGACAGTTTTTCTCCCTCATATTCCTACTAATAAATACTTATAGACTACATATATATATTCACAACTATATATCCTGGAACAATTTAATAAAGTGGAGATAAAATAATTTCACAAAACCTTATAAGACCATTTTAATCTCTTTATGACCTCTCTGAGAAATACCTATTTAGACTTACACCTAAACCATGTTTCTATTTCCTAATTTATTAATTAATAAAAGCACAACTGGGTGATGAGGGGAGTCCTTCTTATGCCATGACTTGCTTTCTGCCCACAGCTAAAGAGATCAAGATTTATTTTAAAACATTAAGTTAAGCAAGCAGGAGTCAGCCTTTCACATTTCAAATTCACTGTTGCTCCTGATTCTTATAAACTCATGTTAAAATTTAACAATTTTTTTTTCCGGGAAGTAACATCCTTTCTCTAAGACTTAATACTGTGAAGATTATTTTCAACTAATAATTATATTCAAACCTGAATGATGGTGTTAACTTTAAATGCCTTCTTAACAATACATGAGGGACTTTCCTGGCAGTGGTTAAGGCTCCACGCTTCCACTGTAGGAAGCACGGGCTCGATCGCCGGTCAGGGAACTAATAAGATCTACGTGAGCTGCCGCCAAAAAATGAAGAAAAAAAGCATGAAATAAACTGAGCCTAAAAGAATGAACAGAATAAAGGTCATCCATTTTAGCTGTAAATTTATTTTTGCTCTATAGATACTGTCAAGCAATTTGACACAATGAAAATTTGGTAAGAGAAAACAAAAAACTCAATAAATCTTGGATTTTGAGATTATCAAAGAATAATTATCTTACATAAAGATTTTGCTATTATAACTTAACTGCAATTTCAAAAGAAACCTCTAAGTTTATTATTTTCAAAAAGTGTAATTTCGTGCATCTTCCCCGTAACAGTTACATTAATCCTCATCAACACAAGAAAAAGGGGGGAAAAAATCTAAAGCCTTACCACATCTGGTACTCTGTCTGATTTCATTTTGTTGACATACTCATCATTTAAGTTACAGTTGACCAAATCAAACCTGAAATGCAAACAATGAAACAATTAATGACACACTTACTCTTTCCATGTTGTTTTATAAATGATCACCTAACAGTTCCTCCTAAGATCAAGCTTTCAATATGCTTTCCCACTTCAGAAGTTGTGTGGTGAATAGGCTTCTACAGATCATAGTAAAGATAATAATGCATTCTATCTCTGAGTTTCACAAGTCATCCACTATTGCCCACCTTACCATACTCTTGTAAAAGAACAAAACAGATATCTGTCAGTCTAATGTGATTCAGTTAGATGGCTCCATTTTATTTATAAACAACAGAAACAAAACATCCTTCATTCTCCAGTAAAATGAACTGAAACCCCAAGAGCAAAAGTAATGTTTAAGGCAAGCTTATTAAGTTCCGCATCAGAATGGGCTATCCTATGCCCATAAAGACCCCTTACATATATAGCTGCCATATTTTAAAAGTGAAATTTATTTTAACAACAGCGTATGCCTAACAAAAAAACACCTGCTCCCCAAAAAACTATACACATAATCTTATCATACAATTTCAGGGATCAATTACTCAAAATCTTGTAACAAATGACTCTAAGATAATGGCCAAAATGGAATAATTATAAGCTTCTGTCCAATCAGTAATTTAATTTATTTATCAATAATAAAGTGAGCTATATGGCTCCTAAGAATTCTTAAATTCTTTTTAGGATAAACAACTTTATTTTAGATAGCTCTGCTGGCTCCCAGAGAAAATATGCAATGCTAGTGGGCAGTTTAAAATAATATAAAATAATACAAACCCCAACACCAGGTCTCCAGGATTTAGAAGATGTCCCAAATGAGTGCGACAAAAATACTGTTTATCTGTATTCATTTCAGATGTTTTCTGTACCCAGACTTCCCCGAGGGTATGCTTAACAGGGAAGAAAATGAACTCTTCAATAATCTAGGCATAACTTACAAAGCATCTCATAGAAAAGTTAATAAATACAATGTTGATTTTGGTTTCTGATTTACATTTTAAATTAGAAGTGTTTGACTTTCCAGACCTCTGAAACACTGTCAAAATTAACCAATTACTGAACTATGAGTAGAGAAAAACTCATAAGTAATTAATAAAATAAATATTTTTGTTAAGATTTTATTCAAGGCCTCTAGAAAACATTAACACTGTCACCTAAAAGCAGACACATATGTAGATCTTTCAAAAGAAATGTATTCACAGGGAGATCACCCAACAAACACTGAGCAAAAAGAATAAAGCACGTGCGTCCATGCATGTGCTCAATCGCGTACAACTCTCTGCGATCCCGTAGACCATAGCCCTCCAGGCTCCACTGTCCATGGGATCTCCAGGCAAGAATACTGGAGTGGGGTGCCGTTTCCTTCTCCACAGAATTTTCCCAACCCTGCATCTCCTGCATTGGCGGGTAGATTCTTTACCACTGCACACCTGGGAAGCCACCTACTAAAAAAGCAGGGGAATCTTCATTTAAATACAGCAAATATCTTAAGTAACACCTTATGTTTCACACATAAGGCTAAAAACACCAGAGTTCATAGAAAATAATCTAACAATCCCAGCAGCACCACTGCCACAACAGCACCCAAATCTTCATCAAATTAATTTTCTGAATGTCTACTATTTTGAGGCATACCTTTTTAAAAAAACTATCATGGAAACATCATCTCAAGTTTGAACTTTTTAAGCAAAAAACCACTAAAGGCCCTTTCCAACACAGAATTTTATAAGCAATTGTAAATGACATTTCAAATTTCCTGGCTGAATTAAGTACAGCCATGCCAATACCTTTTACTAACAAAAACAAACCCAGGTAAAACAGGATTCAGAGCAAAACACTAAGAATTATAGACAGAATTAAAGAATCTCAAAGAGGTAAAAAGAAGGGGTAAAGATAGAGGAAAAAACCAAAGTTAACAGACAGGTCCTGAATTTAGGGGAAAACTGGGTGGGGAAAGAAATAAAAGCAAACTACCAGGGAAACACTAAATTCTAACAATGTATTTCCTGAAAACAAAAAAAAACATAATATCTAGCTTTATATGTTGGAGAGGAAGTGGTGGTGTTTAAATGATAAGTGTTTGCTCTTAAATACTACTTTCCATAGTAGAAGAAATCAGACTGACATGCTTGAAGAAATACCTGATTTCAGATATTGGGGTAAGAACTACACAATGTGATTTTAGAACACCTAAATGTTGTGGTGTTATCTCAAAACGTAAGGATGCTTTCAAAGACTAGTAAAGAAAGTCATGTCAAAGGATATAAGAATATACCTACAGCTATTAAGAAACTGAGTCAATAATTAATAATCTTTCAAAACAGAAAGCATCAGGCCCTGATGGACTCACTGGTGAAGTCTAGCAAACATTTAAGGGAGATACACCATTCCTCTAGAATCTTCTCCAGATGGTAGAAGCACACTTCCTAACTCATTGACAAGCCCAACATTACCCTAAAATCAATACCAGACAAAGACATTATAAGGAAAGTAAACTACAGACCAATCCCTCATGAACATAGATTTAAAACTCCTCAACAAAATATAAAAGAACTGTACACCATTACCAAGTGGAATTTAACACATGTATGCAAGGCTAGTTCAACATTTGAAAATCAAGTTAATGGAGCCCATCAGTCATTAACAACAGGCTAAAAACAACAACAAAAAAAATCACACAGTGATATCAACAGATAAAAAGCATTTGACAAAATCCAACACTCATTCATGATAAAAAACTCAGTAAACTAGAAATAGAGGGGAAACTTCCTTCACTTGATAAGGAGTATCTATTTAAAAATTACAACTAACATTATACTTAATGGTCAGAAACTTGGCGCTTTCCCTCTAAGATCAGGTACAAGGCAAGGATGTCCCCTCCCACTACTCATTTGCAATATCCTACTGGAAACCCTAGCTAATACAAAAGATAAGGAAATGAAAGGTATATAGACAGGGAAGGTGAAAGTAAAATTATCTTTGCAGATGACATAGTCATCTACACAGAAAACTTAAATGGACCAAAAAGCTCCTGAATATATCTAGAAAGGTTACAGGATACAAGGTTATAAATGAAAGTCATTTTCCTGTTACCAATATAAAAAATGATAATGGAAATGTTAAAACACTGATACTTAAGTCTAACAAACTGTGTATAAGATCTGTATAAGGAAAACTACAAAACTCTCATGAACAAAATCAAAGAACTAAAACAGAAAGATGTTACATGTTCATAGACAGGAAAACTCAATATTGTCAAGATTTAAGTTCTGCCCAACTTGACCTACAGATTTATGCAATTCTGATCAAAATCCCACATTAAGCCACGGAGGTATAATATACAACATAAAGAATACAGTCAGTCATACTGTAATACCTCTGTATGGCGGCAGATGGTAACTAGACTTACCACGGTGATCATTTCATAATATTATGCAAATATCAAATCACTTGTTATAGAAATAAACTACTGTACCTCAACTACATTTCAATTTTTTAAAGATCCCAATAAGATTTTTTTGTGGGTATCTACAACTGACTTTAAAGTTTAAATAGATAAGCAAAAGATCCTGAATAGTCAGCAAGATTTTGAAGGAGAAGAATAAAGTTGTAGGAATGACACTACCTAACTTTAAGACTTACTATACTGCTACAGTAATCAAGGCAGTGTGGTACTGACAAAAGAATAAACAAATGGATCAACGAAACAAAAGAGAGTCCAGGAGTGTTCCCACATAAATACAGCCAACTGATCTTTAACAAGGCAGGAAAGGCCAAACAATGGCACGAACACAGTCTTTTCAACAAACAGTGCTTGATCAACTGGATGCGTGCCTGCAAGTTGCGTTAGTCATGTCTGCCTCTTCGCAACCCTATGGACCACAGCTTGCCAGGCTCCTCTCTCCACAGGATTCTCCAGGCAAGAATGCTGGAGTGGGTTGCCATGCCCTCCTCCAGGGGGTCTTCCCGACCCAGGGGTTAAACCCACGTCTTCTGCAACTCTTGCACTGCAGGCAGATTCTTTACTGCTGAGTCACCAGGAAAGCCTGATCAACTGGATATTGGCATGCAAAAAAAAAAAGTCAATCTAGACAAAACCTTACACCTTCCACAAAAACTAACTCAAAATGGATCACAGACCTAAGTGGAAAACATACAACTATAAAACTCCTAGAAGATAACAAAAGAAAAATATAGCTGACCCTGGGTTTGGCAATGACTTTGTAAGTAAAACAAAGGCATGATCTATGACAGAACAGTTGATAAACTGGACTTCTTTAAATTAGAAACTTCTGATCTATGAAAGACAGTGTCAAGAGAATACGAAGATAAATTATACTGGGAGAAAATATTTCCAGAAAACATATCTGACAAAGGACATCATCCAAAATACATAAATAACTCTTAAAACTCAAAAATAAGAAAAAACAATCTGATTTAAAAAATGGGCCCAAGACCTTAACAGACAACTCACAAAAGAAGACACACAGATAGCAGATAAGCATGAGCAAATACTCCTCATCATGCGTTATCAGGGAAATATAACTTGACAATGAGATACTATCATATGCCTATTAGGATGGTCCAAATCCTAAACACGGATAAATCCAAAATCCTGACACCACCAAATGTTGGTGAAGATGTGGAGTAACAGGAACTCTCATAGACTGCTAGTGGGAGTGCAAAATGATACCATCACTTTGGAAGGCACTTCGGTGGTTTCTTACAGAATTAAATATGCTCCTTGGTATTTACACCAAAAGAAGCTGAAAACTCATGTCCACACAAAAACATGCAAAGGAATGTTTACAGTAACTTAGTCATAACTGCCAAAACTTGGAAGCAACCAATATGTCCTTCAGTAGGTAAATGAGTAAACTGGGATATCAAGACAATACTTTGCATTACCAAAAAAAAGCTATTAAGACAAGACATGGAGGAACCTTAAACACACATTACTAAGTGAAAGAAGCCAATATAAAAAGACTATACAGGTACAACAGGAGAAGACCATATGACATTCTGGAAAAGGCAAAACTAGAGAGACAGTATTAAAGAAAAAAACAAAAAAACAGTGATTGCCAGGGGTTAGGAGGGAGTAGAAAAATGCATAGTCAGAGCACAGCAGGTTCTAAGGGGAATGAAAACATCCTGCATGATGCTGTAATGATGGATACATGTCATTGTATTAATACATTTGTCCAAACTCATAGACAGTACAATACTAAGAGTGAATTGTAATGTCAAATATGGAATCATTTTGTGTGATTATAACACGTCAATGTGGACATAAATTGTATGTCCATAAATCTATTCATAAATTGTAACAAATGTACCACTCTTTTGGTGGGAGAAAGGCAATGACGATGCAGGAGACTACCAATGTGTGGAGGCAAGGGGTATATAGGAAATCTTTTACCTCCTCTTAATTTTGGTATGAACCTAAAACTGTTCTAAAAAAAATCTTTCTCCAGGCGATCTCGACCCAGGGATTGAACCCTGGTCTCCTGCATTGCAGGTGGGTCCTTTATCATCTGAGGTACCAGGAGAGCCCCTCTCCCACCCACCCCCACAAAAAAGTAAAAGTTATTAAAAAATAAATAAACTTTTTTAAAGGACAGAAACTGTTCTGAAGAGGCTGCTACTGGCTACATTTGAGGCAATCTGAGTAGAAGGGAGGGAGGCAGCGAGGGAAGGAAGGAGGGAGAAGGCAGGAACAAAGGGAAAAAAATTCAAACATTTCAACGGAGGTATCGGGCTATCAAACAATCAAACATTACTTGCCTCTTGATATATCACAACAGGTACATATCATCACCTCTGAAATGTTCTGACCAAAAAAGAAATTAACCTAAATTTAAATGAGACTTCAGATCCACTTTTAAAAGAAATATAAGAGACTACAAAGCAAGTTAAATAACATCATGAGGAAATGAGAATATAAATCCACAAAATAAATGCCATAGTTGCCTTAGAAAGTTGGTATAATTAAAAAAAAATAAATTAGAAAAAAAGAGCGGGTACTATTATTAATATTTAAGAGGTACAATATTCAAATGTAATGTACAGTCAGTCCCCAAATACGTACTGGTTTGAACAAACCATAAAAGACACTTTGGGAAAAATAAAGAAATTTGGCAAGCTTTATAGTTGATATATACGATAATACTTTGATTATGTAGCAAATGTTTCTAGGTTTTACAGATACATATTGAAGTATTCAGTATTTAGTGATAATATATATATATTTAATTCAAAATGTCTGAAATTTTTTAAAAAGTGAAAGAGGGTTAAGCTTCTCATTTGCTCCTTCTATACAAAGAGTAAAAGAAATACTTTTTCATAATAACATTTAAAGATTAAAGAGAAAGAATTAACTTACCAGACAGTATATGTCTGATAGTTCTCATCACGATGGCCACGTGTTAAAAGCAGATGGCATACAAACACAAAACGCATTTTTACCTGAATGTGGTGTCAGCTTATTTGGAACCACATTTTGGAATTACTAACAAATTAAAAAAAAAAAAAGAGCGAGAAAGGGGGATTAAAACAGTAAGTCAGGATTAGAGGAAGGTGAACAGGATGGAACTTACCTTTTTTGATATCATTCCAGCACCTGCACTGCGTTTTGTATCTCGGACTATGCTGCATTCCATAACAATAAACTCCTCCAGCTGTTTGGGATGGCATAAACTATTGAAAGGGTGACTCCAGAAGGTGTTCCCATCAATATCTGCAACTAAGAGGAAACACAGAACATCAAAGAACGAAAGAACTGAAGTAATTCAAAAGCCATCAAATGTGTTAACGAGGAAGAAGCTGATACAGTGACTGTGGAGCATCAGGTCAACAGAAACCAGAGTGGCAACTCACACTGCAGAGGACATCATTTATTCCTACCCATCAACCCCAAGTTTCCCAGAGAGTAAGAGAGATACCAGGTGTCAAAAACATGAGCGCCGAAAAAGTGATGGTTTTGAACTGTGGTGTTGGAGAAGACTCTTGAGAGTCCCTTGGATTGCAAGGAGATCCAACCAGTCCATCCTAAAGGAGATCAGTCCTGGGTGTTCACTGGAGGGACTGATGCTGAAGCTGAAACTTCAGTACTCTGGCCACCTCATGCGAAAAGTTGACTCACTGGAAAAGACCCTGATGCTGGGAGGGATTGGGGGCAGGAGGAGAAGGGGACGACAGAGGATGAGATGGCTGGATGGTATCACCGACTCGATGGACATGGGTTTGGGTGGACTTCGGGAGTCGGTGATGGACAGGGAGGCCTGGCGTGCTGCAATTCATGGGGTCGCAAAGTCGGACGTGACTGAGCGACTGAACTGAACTGAACAAGTACCTTTAAAATAAGATCAGATCCAACCAGCTGTATAGCTGTTTTATGTGCTGGCATTTTATTTGGCACATTATCAGCCATCTTAAGGTGTTTAGTCTATGGGAAACAAATTTCTAACTGACAGATGTTCATCCCAATACTGCACACAGAATTTTGACTGATGAATTCTAATTAATAAGGATAATAATTGACTTTCTAGAAAATATCAAAATAAATTCAATGTTTTATAACAGAAAACTTGTATTACAGCAAACATATGAAAAAGATCAAGTAGGAGATGCAACCAAGTACTGAGAGACACCTATCAATATAGGGTCTTCTTCTAAGTCAAATGCTCCCAAACTTTAAAACATATGCTCTACACTAAAATTTGACATTGAACTTAAATAATTAGTCATAAAAAATAAGAGGTAAATAAGTCCAGTTCAGTAAAAATAAATGGGATAAGACTAATAAAAACTTAAAAATGCAAAGAAATTTTTCTTCAAAAAAAAAAAAATACAAGGGCAACTTACCAAAAGTATTAAAAAATTTCAGTGTTTTAAACACTGTACAGTATTGATTTTAGCTAATTTTTTAAAACAATATTACTGAGAATACTTGATAAAATTAATAACAATTTATTACTGCTTTTTAAATAGAAGTGTCAAGGCAGTTTCTAAAACTTACCTTGTAGGGTATTTGGATCTATGAGGTGGATGACACTCGTTACTCGAATACACACACAAATCTGGTTCATGTTTCCCAGGCTTTGTGCCAGTTTTGGAGACAGACAAACAACATTATCCTAGGAATAATAACTGACATTTAGTGTGAAGCAAATTTTAAGTAAGAGTCTTTGATAAACACTCATCAATGTAAACCTTATCAAAGGGCATGTGATCAAACCAAAATGTCATTTTTAATTCTATGTATCAACAAATGGCTTAAGAGAATCAGATCTTGCATAAACAGAAAATAAGCTATACCCTCTTAAGATGGAGATAACTGTCTTAATAAAATGGCTTTAAAAAGTAATTTAAAGATTCTAGTCACCAAGCTGTTTAGTTCATTTCAATTTTATTGAAGTGTGAATGCTTGCTTATTACTCTGTGTTAATATAGTGTGACTTCATTTACTCTCCATAAAAATTTCAGAGGAGCCATATGTTCCTCCTTCTTGTCTACATGTACCAATGTGTAATTAAAGATCTAATGCCCCTCCAAGAGCACATATGCCTACGTGTGCATCAGGACACGCTAACACCAATGTGGCTATCTGTTTTTAAGCTGTTATTAAAATATAAAAGGGATCTGGATTATATTTTAAACTGTATCTATTCACAATCATAGGTTCCCTCACTGAAAGGACATTCTGTACATCCTTACTGGCACCTAGCTCAGTCCATTTTTTTTTTTCCTGAAACTTACTAAGATTCTCCAAAGATTAATGGGAAAACTTCTTTCCACTGTGTATTCATTCAGATACCTATATGAATCACTGAAAGCACTTAATACACAAGGCCTAAATATGTCCTCTCACCTAGATTCACTGTTTTATTTAAACTGGGGGTCTGCAAAATGAGACCCTGAGGCAAATATTGTACAGAAAGTTTGGCGGGGACACAGCCTCAGCCCTTCATTTACCTACTATCTACGGCCAATTCTGTGCGCCAGCAGCACAGCTGAGTAGCTGCAAAGCAAACTATATAACCTAAAAACTGCAACTGTTTACTATCTTGCTGTTTACACAAAAAAATTTCCTGACTCTGTTTAAGCCATCATCTCATGGTTCTGTACTAAACCATAATGACAACAGATTTAAAGTCTCAGCGTCACAGACCTAGGCACAAATCCTGGCTTCCTCTTGTTAACTTTGGGCAAATCATCTAACCTGCCCAGGCTTCTTACTCATCTTCAGAATGATGGTATGATTTACTCCAGCTGTCCTGAGACTAACAGGTGAAACATACTTAAGTGCTCAGAAAGTACCTTTATGGAGAATGCTCACAATAAATTACAGCACTTATCATTATTAGTGATTTAAACATGGACATGTAAGTTCCTATGTAGCAGAGACATCTAGGACACAGTCCTTAATACACAGTCTTCTATACAACAGATCCCGAATAATTATTTGTTGAACTGTAATTCATTTTTTTTTTTTTTTAAAGTCTTTGCCACAATCCTTACATTTATAAGGCTTCTCTCCAGTATGAATTCTCTGGTGTTGAGTAAGAGTTGACTTCTGATTAAAGGCTTTGCCACACTTCATACATTTGTGTGATTTCTGCTGCATATGAATTACCTGATGTTGAGTAAGACAAGAGCTACAAGGAAACACTTTGCCACATTCTTTACATTCGTTTGGTTTCTCCCTAGCATGAACTTGCTGATGCAGACTGAAATGTGAACACCTAAAAATGGCTTTGCCACTTTCCTTACCTTTGTAAGGTTTCTGCTCTGTATGGATTCACTGATGTTGAGTAAGCTTTGAGTTCTGATTAAAGGCTTTGCCACACTTTGTACATTTATAATGCTTCTCCCCAGTATGAATTCGCTGATGTTGACTAAGATTTGAGCAAGACATAAATGCCTTTCCACATTCCTTATATTCATAAGGTTTCTTGCCATTGTGGATTTGCCAATCTTGACTAAGCTTTGAATTCTGATTAGAGGCATTGTCACACTCTGTAACTTTGAAAGGTTTCCATCCTGAATGAATTTTCCTGTGTCTACTTAGATTGGATGAGTTAGTAAAGGCTTTCTCACATTTCTTACACTTGTAACTTTTCTGCGGATCCTGAATATTCTGCTGTTGAGTATGACTTGAAGAATGATTAGAAATATCACTATATTCACAATTATAAGTCTTCTCTCCTGTATGTGTACTCTTCTTTAGTGTAAGACCTGATGTTTGATAAAAGATATTCCTACATGTACTATTTTTAGAATCCTTGTCTGAAGATTGAGGTCCCTGATGTTTCATAGGGTTAGAGTCTTGTTCAGTTTTAGACCCAGTTTCATTGCATGAATAGCTTCTCATTCCATCATAAATATTCTTGTAATTATTAGGGGTAGAGCTCTTACTTAAGGCCTGACTCGTGTTATTACATGTGAGAAGTTGTTCCATATTAACCATATCATGATGTGTATTGAACAATGTTGGTGGGATTAACTCTTTTCCATTATTATCTACATTACACATTTTGGAACAGAAAGAATCTGTCTGTTGGTGGAAGAATAATGACCCCTTGCTCACAGATCCCTCAAATTGATTATATTGTGAGATTTCCCCATCATTTTTAAATTTCTGGTTTTCAGAAGTGCTTGAATGTATGTGTAATCGAAGCCTGTGTTCAGAGTGGTTTGAATGAGTATGTGCAGTAGAGACTGGATGACTTTCCAGATTTTCCACATTCCCCTTCAGAGAACGTGTATGTTTCAAAAAATGATTTAAGCCTTTGCTTGAAAAGATACGCTTCTCTGCAGATGTTGATCACTGAAATGGGTGTTTTCCCCAATTTGACTCACATTGCTCATTTCTTTTGGCAGTAATGTCTGCGTTATGTGAAACTGTCTCAGTTCCTTTATGTCCATATAAACATCTTCTAGGTCTTTCACAGACCCCCATATATTCCTGGTCTTTCATTAAATGTTCATTTCCAAGGTGAACTCTTTCATATGTTCCTAGGTTTGCCTTTTGGATTAAATTTTCTAACCTTGGATTCTTTGACATCAAAGCATGGGTGTTGTGAGAAGACACAGCTGTGTATATGGCTGGCATCTCCAGTCTCCTAACATCCCAGGGATTCTTCATTTGCTCCAGAAAGGTGATCAGGTCTGGCTTAGAGACCATAAGACCCAAGGAGGCCAGATTCCTGTAGTTCTCTAACATCATGTCCCTATACAATTCCCGTGACCGAGGCCCAGGCATTCCCACTCCTCTTGAGTGAAGTCTATGAGCACATCCTTGAACGTCAGCCGTCCCCGAGAAGCTGCCATTTCCTCTTCTTCCTCCTGCTCTGCGTCTTCTCTGGGGATGTTGCATCCCAAACTCACATCTGCATCTTGAGAAAATACCTTCAAAGGCATCCATGCAGCTGTTTAACCTGCAACTGCTGATAATGCTAATCACATTCTGGTGCTCTACACTATTTGCAGATCGTCTGGGCTAGTTCTTCTCCTTCCTTTTCGAGTTACAGAGAACAGTTCGTGAGAGACAATGACCCTCCTTCTGGGCTACCAGACCCAGCCTTTGAGGGTTGTGAAAAAAAAAAAAATCCATTTATATTTTTTGAAGCAGAGTTTTACCTTAGTACAATTAATGAAATGACAATTTTTGTCTTTAGAAAAAGAGATCAGATTTGCAACTACCAGAAGTGGTGGGGGTGGGGGCAAGGGGAAAGAGGAATTGGATTATCGTAGTCAAAAGGCACAAACTTCCAGTTATGAGATCAATGACAATGAAGGATATAATGTACAACATGATAAATATAATTAACACACCTGTATGTTATGTATGAAAGTTGTAAAGAAAGTAAATCCTAAGTTCTTATTAGGAGAAAAATATTTCCTTTCTAATTCAATTTTATATCTATATAAAATAATGGATGGTCATTAAAAAAATGATAATCTATATCTTAAGTATTATTCAGATATTTTTAAAATCACAAAAATAATTCAAAGCTCTCCTTCCATAATATTCTTTAATTTTATCATGCCGAAGTCCAGTTTGCACACATTCCACAAAGTGGCTCCCTGATAAGTAATTTCGTATATTCAAAGTTTCATAGAACTAGCATGTGTCCACTAGGACTGCAAAGTTTAAGGAATATATGCCTTAAAAATTGCAAAGAGGCCTTTCAATTAGTACACCAAAAATTTATAATTTTAAGCATGATTACTCTTCAATCTTTTTAACATGACTAAAATGTGTCAGAAATCATTAAGAAGTTATTCTAAATGTTTAACCAATCCCAGAAGGAAATCAGGAGCTAATAATTACATATAAACCAATTAAGGACATGGATTAATTAAATGAGAAAAAGTACCTTGCATATTGGAACAATTTCCACAGAAAAAGTGCTTTTGTAATTGTATGTATTACTATGGATATCCTGAGAGATCAGTCTCTGTGAGGCTTTGTATCTATTAAGAGAAAAAATTAACCATTATAAAAAGGCAAAGGTCTTTATTTGTCTAATCTTGGGAATATAAATTTTCATTAAATCATCACTGTCTAAGATCTGAAACAGGTTCCTGATGCCTGTTATGGTGAAGTCTCAGTTCATGCACTTCATTTATAAACTTTCACCAGTCTGATTGCACTCTATCTATTCTCAAGTTTATCTACTGAAAACCTCCAAAACATGCCCATGGCTTAGACCAAGCAAGTCTACATATATTGTCCATTAAAAGCTACACTAATGTCCACTCCAAGTCATTGTTCACACTAATCTCACCCTTCAGTACAAACTCTACTTTTGAAAATTTCCGATTCTAGGAGCTTAAGTCCTTCCGCCTCCATAAAGTTTCTCCCCAAAGTTTTTTAACCCTGTTCTGCTTTTTTCTTATTTAAATACATTGAATCAGTGGTTCAGGACTACAGTGCTTACTATCACAAACTAAGTCTAGCTCCCCAAAGATTCTTAATGCTCTTTGGCTAATACTTCTGTTAAAAGTAGCTAATCCAACAAATGCTTACTAATTGTGTAAGTAATCCTACTATAGTTTTACATATTTTAAGGTAAGTTGCCTAAGCCTGAAGAATGGATGTGACCTATGTTCATTCCTTGTTGCCTGGATGTAATCTCATATAGGTTTCAGAACATACCTAGTGGGGACGGTACACTGAAGAAATTCTACCATCTTCTGAGCATGTTGTTTTGAGGAATAATAGAAATCCAAACCATCTTTTAAAGAAAAAAGCCATATTAAAGGAATACTGCAAAGATTTTCTTCTACTAATATGACTATATCGCAAATGAAATGCATATTAAATAACTAAATTATAATTTTCTCGCCATAGTACACTAGGAATGCCATATCACTTAAGACTTGTTTGACAAAAGGATAGATTAATCAAATGCAAACAAAACAAAACAAGATTCATAACTTAAACTTCAGACAAAATTCAAGGTCAAAAGGGAAGAGAAAAATATTAAACAGAACAAAAAAGGGTATTTTATGTAATGAATGGAAGAATCCACCACGAAAACAAGAGAAATGCATGTAATAGCATAGTGTTGAGATACAGAAATCATAAACTACTAAAAAGAAAAAACTGACAAATGTTAACACATGTAATCATTGAGGGAGACCAGTATAAGACTAACAAAACCAAAATGGTCAAAAAATGAAATGTGCGGTGCCAAATCACTCAGTCGTGTCCAACTCTTTGCAACCCCATGGACTGTAGCCCACCAGGCTCCTCTGTCCATGGAGACTCTCCAGGCAAGAATACTGGAGTGGGTTGCCATGCCCTCCTCCAAGGGATCATCCCAACCCAGAGATCGAACCCAGGTCTCCCACACTGCAGGTGGAATCTCTGCCATCTGAGCTACCATGGAAGCCCAAACTGACCCAAAATAGAAAGGATACACAGAACTTGAATAACCAACTATCAAGGTTGATTTAACTGAGATTACAGAATGTGGCCCAAGAAAGAATACCTATTATTTTGAAAAAGTTGATAGAATATTCATAAAATATTCACATACAAAGATTAAATTTTAAAACTTTCATGATTCAGAAGACATTATTACAAGTAGGCACCACATATCCTAATTTCAAAACATATTACAAAGTTACAGTCATCAAAACAGCGTGGTATAGACAAAAAGGCAAGTCTACAGAATCAATCCACACATACATAGTCAACTGATCATGAACAAATGTGCCAAGAATACACAGTTGGAAAATGATAATACCTTCAACAAATGGCATTTGGAAAACTGGATATCCACATGCAAAAGAATGAACTGAACTCTTGTCTTATATCATTAACAAAAATCAACTCAAAACAGATTAAAAAGACTCAAACTAGGACCTGAAACTGTAGAACTTCTAGAAGAAAATATGGAAAAAGCTTCATGACATCAGTCTTAGAAATGATTTCATGGATGACACAAAAAGAAAAATAAACAACTGAGGCTACATCACAGTAAAAAAGCTCACACACAGCAAAAGAAACAATCACCACAGTAAAAGGGCAACCTACAGAATGGGAAAAAATATTTGCAAACCATGTAACTGAAAAGCAGTTAATCTCCAGAATCTATCAGGAATTCCTATAACTCATCAGCAAAAAAAAAAAAAGAAAAGAAAACCTGGTAAGCCAATAAGAAATGAGAAAGGAATAAGACATTTCTCCAAAAAAGATGTACAAATGGCACAGATATATGAAAAAAGCTCGATGTTGCTAGTTATCAACGAAATGCAAATCAAAACCACAATGAGTTTACACTTCACTGCTTTCAGGATGGCTATTATCAAAGAAAAAAAAGACATACTAGTAAGAATATGGAGACACTGGAACCCTTGTACACTACTACTAAGGCAAATATAAAACAGTACAGTCACTATGGAAGACAATGCAGATGTTCTTCATAAACTTAAAATCAGAACTATCAAATGATACAGTAATCCTTTTCTAGGTGTTTATCCACAAGAAGTGAAATCAAGATCTCCTGTGTTTATTGAGGTATTATTCACTAAGCTATATAGCTAAGCTTATATAGTCAAGAAAATGGACATTTAGGTTGTTTTCACAACAGATGAATGGATAAATTGTGATATATACCTCCAATGGAATATTATTCAGCCTTAAAAAGGAAGGAAATTCTACAACCTGCAACAACATGGATGAACGTTGAGAACATTGTGCTAAGTGTAATAAGCCAGTCACAGAAAAACAAATACTGCATGATTCTATTTATATGAGGTACCTAAAATAGTCAAAATCATAGAGTAAGAGTGGAACTACGGGTGCCAGAGAGAAAGGAGAAATGAGGAGTGACTAAGTTAATGGGAATAAAATTTCAATCCAACAAGATGATTCAGCTAGAGATCTGCTATATTAACACTATACTTACTCAACTATAAGGTATTATACACTATCATACACTTAAAATTTTAAGAGGGCAGTTGTCATGTTGTGTTATCATAATTAAAAATAAAAGAAAGAAAGAACCCATTAAGAAAATGAAAATTCAGACCAGGAGAAAATATTAACAAATCATATGTGAAAAGGGGCTTCTATCTAGCATATATTTTAATAAATCTTACAACTTAAGACAAACATCACAATCAAAACTTGCAAAAATTTAAACTGTTGTTTCACCAAAAAAGATACAGAAATGATAATAAGGTCATGAAAAGACAATTAAGATCATCAGTCACTAGGAAAAAGCAAATTAAAACCACAATGAGATACCACTTCATCCCCTAGAATAGCTATTTATACAAAGAAACAATAGCAAGTAATGTCAAGATGCAGAAAGTGGAACCCTCAAAGACTGTTGACAGGAATATAAAACGGTACAGCCACTTTGAAAATGGCAGCTTCTTAAAAAGATAAATACAAATTTACCATACGACTCAGCAATTCTACATCTAGGTAGGCACTCAAGAAAATAAAATAGTTTAACGCTTGCTGAGAAAAAAATGGAAAAATATAGCTTTAAGTATCAGCTGCAGAGCCAATATGATAGTCAGAAGAAAATTTATTAACTTTAAATCTATATATTATAAACTTAAAATAAGCTAAGCTTTCAATTAATTTAAATAAAAAATACTAAAGAAAGAAGGGAAAAAAATTGTATAGCTATGTATGGTGATGCATGTTAAGTAGACACAGGGTGATCCTTCAACAATATACACAAATATCCAATCAGTATATACCTGAAACTAATACAATGTTTTATGTGAATTTTACAATTCTATTTCAATAAAAAAATTGTAAGCAGAAGGAGTTAGTAATAAGAACAAAAATTAAGAAAAAGTAAGACTTTGTTTTTTTCGATAAAACTATCTTTAGAAAAAACTACCATAATAGACTAAACTCTGGCAAATCTGATCTGAGTGGGGAGAGGGAGGAAGTGAAAGATGATGAGAAAAGACAAAGATTAGCAACAATGAAGAAGATATAATGATGAGTTATGGATGAGATTTAAGACCACAATAAACACACACGTACACACACACACCCCATGTTCAATTCTATGCCAAGTATGTGAAAAGCCAAATGACATGTACTTCCTTGGAAAATGCTATTAAAATTGATTCAAGAAGCAGTATAGTACCTGAAAAAAATTAACATTCTAACAAAATGATTTGAAAAGGTTTTGCTTCCTCCCTCTCCTCATACCTAACTGAATGGCTTAATGGGCTGGTTCTTATTAAACTTAAAGATGTTGATTAAACACCATGCAGAAAGAGAAAAAACTCTGATTGCTTCTATATCACTAACATAACCAATAGCAAGATTAGAGAGAACAGTTTAATATAGTTATGCATGCATACGAACCAAATACAAATCTCAACAAATATTCTATTTAGGGATGAAACACAGATTGACAACAATGCCTGTTACATTATCACTCAACGCTATTCTCCACTCCTAGACAAGGGGGAAAAAAGAAAGGGGAGAAAAAGAGGGAATGATACCGTAAAGGAAGAAATAAAACTATCATTGTATACAAATAATTATTTACCTAGCAAACCAAGAGTGTTATGTAAATGACACAAGAATATAATGTAAACCATTAGTGATATTAAGAAATTTCAGAAAGATCAACCTATAAAATCAAGAGCTTTCTGAAAACATTAGCAATAAAGACTTAGAAAATGTAGTAAAAACCACCATCCCCAATAACTACAAGTATAGAATAGTCTGGGGAAAAAAAGTGAGAATCATTCAAAATCTTGATGAGGGAAATGAAACTATGTCAAAGAAATACAGAAAAGACGTGAAAAAATATGATTATGCACCAGGTTTTAAGTACTTTACACAATTTAATTCTCACTGTAATCCTATGAGACAGGTGTTATTATCATCCACTCCATTTTATAGACAGGAAAACTGAGGCTCAGAGAAGTTAAATACCTTGCCTAGGGTCACACAGCAAAAACATGGTGGGAAAGAGATTCAAATTCACAAAATCTGGTTCCACAATTCATGCTCTTACTATTAACCAAGTTTTACAAAAAAATTAATAAGAGGGTATATATTATGAAGTATAATTTATATACTATAACAAAAGCAATGAGACAAAATAAAATAGAACTGTGAGATGTGTATAAAGGAATTTAGTATATATTAGAAAGGAGAAATTTTAAATCAGTGAGTAAAGAAGAGACTACTTGGTAGGTTAAGTATTGAGACAATGCAAGTTAACTTTTTGGGAAAGAGTCATACCAGGTAAGATTAAAAGATCCAAAGGTAAAACAAAAATCTATTTTTTAAAAATAATCTTGAATATAAAGATAGATTAAAGAAAGAAAGATTCTATCCTATGTAAGATAGAAAGTCATAAGCCATAGCTAAATGACTAAAATGGGATTCCCTAGTAACTCAGTTGGTAAGAATCCGCCTGCAATGCAGGAGACCCCGGTTGGATTCCTGGGTTGGGAAGATCCACTGGAGAAGGGAATGGCTACCCACTCCAGTATTCTTGGGCTTCCCTTGCGGCTCTCAGCTGGTAAAGAATACACCTGCAATAAGGGAGACGCGGGTTCGATCCCTGGGTTGGGAAGATCCCCTGGAGAAGGGAACGGCTACCCACTCCAGTATTCTGGCCTAGAGAATTCCATGGACTGTAAAGTCCATGGGGTCAGAAAGAGTCAGACACGACTGAGTGACTTTCACATGTCTTCATATGATTAAAATATGAACAGCTTAGATAAGAGAAGACATGAGACAGTAAGTATCTGCTCTCAGCTCACACTCAAGGGCATGCTCTATATGCTTCTATCTGTATATAAATACACACATAATGAGACTGATATCCTCTGTAACAGGAAATAAATACGGAAAAATTAGATATATAAAGAATAATTTACATTAGATAAACAGCCAATACATATGAAAATGTTAACCCTCATTAGTAATCAAGGAAATGAAAATAAAAACAAGATGCCTTCATTCTCTTCATTAGAACAGCAAAAATTAGAAAGCCCAATACAATCTTATGCAGTACTGGCAAGTGTTTGGTAAAACAGAAATTCTCACAAGTGATGGGACTGTAAACTGGTACTATTTTGGAAAACAATCTAGTTGCACATGTCAAAATTTAACATTTGCATACTCTTGTCCAGTAATTTCAATTCTCAAACTCAGTCCCGAAGAAAAATTACTGGCTATGCACAAACAGAAAGATGTTTGCTACAGTACTGCTTGTAGTAGCAAAAAACTGGAACATCTTGTAAGCCAATTAATACCAAACAACTAAACAATTAAAAACACAATGATTAACAAATATATAACCACAGAGTTAAAAATAATGAAACAGGATTATATGCAATGATGTAGAAAGGTTTCTAAATATAGTAAGATGGCAAATCACAGAATGTTACAGAACTATCTCAAATATGAGGAGAAACCAATGTTATCACAATTGCTATACAGAATAAACACTGTAATATCCTGCTTTAAGGGGCTATATCTGTGAATAACAAATGGATAAATGGGACAGAGGTCGTTTATTCATAAAAGCTTGTTTCTTTTATAATTTTTCTAATTTTTAGAATTTTAAATTTAAAGTTTTATGATTGTTTATAATTATGATGATTTTAAAAACACAGTTATAAGCAAATTAACAAAAGATTAAATTACATCAAACCAAGAACCAGTAGGAAAAAAAACAGATTTAATTCTGGATGAAAAAAGGGATTGTTAAACTTCCAGCATTTTTGGTTTTGAAAGTGACTGCAAAAGTATGTTTCAGAATGTATGCAAGTGTTTTGCTACAAAAAATTCAGTGAGGGTATTTCTGCTACAGTGATGAACAATAATCAGAATTTTCTGTTTCCTTTGCTAGAATATTAGGATCCCAATTCCCAAGTTACTCAAAACAAAGTTACTCAGAACAAAAGTACATTTTTGCCTGATGGCTAGCCACAAATAGCAGACACCATACTAAACAGGTAGTAAAGTACTCTACCTACAATAAGTATTCAGTAAGTTTCATGTCACAGATTTTGACTGTTAACCTTATGTCTACTGGTAATGCACTCAAATCAGATACAAAGTTTAAAAGAGTTTCTCCAGGTGACAAAACTGATATTTTCCCCCCCATTTAAGAGACCCCAAACCACACTTACAAGTACTTTCTTGAAGACATATGAGATAAATGAATAACACATCAGTAAGTAAAAGAGGAACTTACACTTTTAAAATAAGTAGCACAAGAATTTGGTCATTCCTTCAAGAAAAGCTATCTCTAAACCCATACTGTAACAATCAGGAAAACTATGTACATGTCCTACAACTAAAAAGATTCACTTTTAGCAAGAGACTGAAGTATTTGCTAAAGAATACTTATATTTTCTATTATTAAAGAAATATTCATCCATCAACTAGTATATGTAAGTATGCTACATTAATAAACAGTAAGTGCTAAGACAGAATACACTCTGAGGAGCCATTATGAAACTACACAAATATTTTAAAATTCCATCTTCAAGAAATCTAATTATATCATTTGTATATCACTGTTTATTATTACTGAGTTTACCCTTCTGATTCAAAATATGCATCACAAATGCCACTAGGCATATGAAAAACAAAAATATTACAACTAACAGATCTCAAAAATAATTTCCTTTCAATAAGAAACTGAATTCTGCATAAAACAAGTTTTTGATAAATTTCTACCACTCTACATTCTGTTAATGCAGTTACTGGTTTACTCACTTGGGAGCCATTTAGTGTAAATATAAACTAAAATAGAAAAAAAATTAAAAATTTTTATTTAAAAAATTAAATTAAAAAATTAATCACATTTCAAATATTCAACAGCTACTTATGGCTAGTGGCTACCATAAGAGTTGGATAATGCAGAAAAAGAACTAAGATTTTTTTTCTTCCTAACAGAAACTTCTTTTGGACAGTCCTATTATAGATACTATTACTAATGATAAAAGACTCCTTAAGATAGTTAAAATAAATCTGAAATCATTTCAAATGCTTTAAATTTTAACTCACCATGAATCTCCTTGATACGAAGTGTATTCTGGTGCATCCCATACTTCAAAATCAACTGTTCCAGATAGTAGAAAGTTTTTTTGTGCAAAGTCTAAACATAAATGAGTTATTAGATCAACAGATGAAATGCAAAAAAAAAAAAAAAGGCACCTACAGACACAGCACACTCATTTTTTTAAATTTCTATTGGAGCACAGTTGCTTCACAACGTTGTGTTAATTTCCACTGTACAGCACAGTAAATCTGCTATATGCATACATGTATCCCTTTTTTTTTTTCAGATCTCCTTTCCATGTAGGAGAGCACAGTAATTTTTAAAACAAAAACAATATAAAGATTATCTAAAATGTGGCAGCGATCTGTTTCTAAAGGTGAATGTCCCAAAGCCCTGGAATATCCTTGGTGCCTAAACTATTTGGAAAGAAGGGAAAGGAGAAGGCTTTACCCACTATTTATAATGGACAAAGGCAAAATACAGTTGGAGGACTCACACATTATCTTTCTCTCATTACCTTTTGCCTGACTTGAACCACAGCTTTCCAGAAATCCTTAGCTTCCACTCTATGGCAATCTCCACACATCTGGGGCTGAACAACATAATCCACCACAAACACTTGCTGAAGGATGGCACCATTCATCACCTGACAAAGAAAACAATCCAGTCCTTCATTCTTTCCTTTCTCAAAAGAAGATCCTTTAATATCTAACTTAAAATCTTCTTCTATGAATGCTTTGAGGACATTAGTAATAAATAAGTTACATTTAAAGTCGTTAAGTTATACTATTTCCAGAAACATATACAGGTTTAATTCATAGGATTTATTAGATTAGATTAATATTTCAAACTTACCTTTAGTTGAAGTGGTTCTAAGATATTCTTTGAAGATTTTTTATAGCTATATATACATATATATGCATGTGTGTGTGTATAAAATTCATCCTTAAGAGACAAAGAAAACTCTCAAAGAAAGAAGACATTACTTAATTGTTTCCAAACTTAACCCATCATCAGAAATCACCCAGGAAGTTTTACAGATTCCTGGATCTTACATCCGGGTGAATCCAGTTTGATTCAGTCACTGTGAGTCATAATCATCAGCCAAGTTTGAGAAGCACTGCCTTAGGTCATGTTTTTACTTCAATCTTATTCCAAAAAAAATGACTTTGAGAAAATTAACTTAGCCCACTAATCATGAACAAAGGCTGGTCTTACTAGTGACCTGATCATTTCTGCAGATGATCCAAAAGAAAACAAAAAATTAAAATTAATAATGTTATTTATTTCTCTTTAAGCTGTCAAGCCCTAATTTACCAATAGCCCCTTATTTTCACTACCTACACTTTAACCATGCCAAAAAATTATGTATAGCTTACCTCTTTCTGAATAGTCAGTTTAACTTTAAGTCTCTTAGAATGAGGCTCAGTCCAAACAAAGCTTGCATCTACAAGCCGTACCTTCAATAAAACACAAAGAAACATAAGTTCCCTTCAAAAAAGAGAAAAAAGGTGAAAGAATAACTCATGATAAAGAGATTTCACAGATGCTTAAGCATCTGTGACTAATCTACCTAACATCATCAATTTTTTAAAACACTATCAGAGGTATGGCAACAAAAACAGCAAGTAAAGTGAAAATCTAATGACTATATTAAAGCAACTGGTATAATTCAAGCAAAAATTAAAACTCCTTCCCCTTAAAAACAGTAGTTTTTCTATTTCAAAGTACACTTTTTAGGAGAAAACAAAGACCTGATGACTTCATCATCTACTAGAAAACACATGAACAAAGGTTTCTACTTTTATTATTCTCTGTATAGTAAGTTTGTGGCTTAAAAAACATATATGGACATTCCCTCTTCAGAGGGAGTCTCATGCACTGACTACTGAATTCACAATGGTAACTCCCTGCTAAATCAGCAGAGGCCGAGAACAGTTCGCCCTATGTGACAAACTCAGTGCAGCTCATGCGCCAAAATGAGTGTTTCAAGAAAGGAGGTTGGAGAACAAAAAACAGAGGTTGTTTCATTAATTTGAGCAGGAGTTTAAGTAACCTGAACTGAGGGGCTGGAAATAATAGCAGCAGAAGGATCCAAGCCAAGAGATAAAATCTATAGGATTTAATAACTAGACATGGGAAGATTTTAGAATGACAGTCAAGGATCCAGCTTGGACACCAAGGTAACACTTTTTCTGACACAAATAAAAAAGAGATTAAATGCAGAGGAATGTGCTATATTTGGTTTCAGACACTTAAGTTCAAGCGGATTTATCTGAGACATCCAACCGAAGCTGTTGAGGAGATAGTGAGATACACACATTTGGTCTGGTGCTCTATGGAGAAACCTGAGTTATAGGTAACAGGTTTGGGAGACATCAGCAGGCAGATAATAATTTTATCAAGACATGTCTGGTGAGAAGTAGATAAGCTAGTGCAGATACAGCAGTCTAGAGTAAAACCCTCCTCATATGACTGGCTCCCCTAAACCAAAGCCTAGTGGTCAGTCGACAAGTCACCAGGCACAAAGGGTGACAGAGAGCTGTTGATTCCCTCAGCCTCCATCTGCGGCGGTCTGCAGAAGCTCCGTGGGCCTGGATGAGACTGCCCTCTCCTCAGCATCCAGTCTCCATCGTAGGACTGGACCTACTTCACCATTCCCCAGCTCGGGCTCACCACACTCTGTCCTCAGACAACCAGGACTAAGCCAACTTACTGAGCCCTTCAGCCTTCTTTACCATTACCTCAGCCACCGGCTCATCTCCCACACTCCAATCTCCATGCCTAACACATATGCCCTTTTCTGTCCCATCCAATACTCCTCCCCAAATCCTGAAAACCTTCTTATTGTGGCCTCTGGAATTCAACATTCACTAACAAAACCTTCTGAATCCTCAATCTTTTTCCTGAACATTCCCTTCACCTTCTACATCTCCTGATTTTATACATATATATATATATATATATATATATATATATATATATATATTGCTCTCCCTACAGCTAATGAGGCTGCGACAGTACAGAAGCGGCAGCTATGGTTTTTCCAGTAGTCATGTATGGATGTGAGAGTTGGACTATAAAGAAGCTGAGTGCTGAAGAATTGATGCTTTTGAACTGTGGTGTTGGAGAAGACTCTTGAGAGTCCCTTGGACTGCAAGGAGATCCAACCAGTCCATCCTACAGGAGATCAGTCCTGGGTGTTCATTGGAAGGACTGATGTTGAAGCTGAAACTCCAATACTTTGGCCACCTGATGTGAAGAGCTGACTCATTTGAAAAGACCCTGATGCTGGGAAAGACTGAGGGCAGGAGGAGAAGGCGACAATAGAGGATGAGATGGCTGGATGGCATCACCGACTCAAAGGACATGGGTTTGGGTGGACTCCAGAAGTTGGTGATGGACAGGTAGGCCTGGCATGCTGCAGTGCATGGGGTCGCAAAGAGTCAGACATGACTGAGCGACTGAACTGAGCAGCTAATGAAAAGTAATGACTGACTGTTTTTTCACCTTCTCAAATGTTTATCATCAAAGAATCCTAGGATTCAATCCTCAAATTTCTCCTTCTCTAAACTCCCTAGGAAGTCTCATCCAATTTCATAGCTTTAAATACCATATACACCTCCAAATTCATTATCTGCAGTCTAGACCATGCCCTTGCTTATCCATCCAGCTCCCCACTATTTCTGCTTCCATGTCTAATGAACAGCTAAGTACCACCTGAGATGAGCTTTGATTTCTCCCGCCTGGCCTCCTCCTTTTGAAGTCTTTCCTGCTTCACTAACAGCAACTTCCCCCTGGTTGCTCAAGAACCACAGAAGTCACCCTTGACTCTTTCAACTCATAAGCATACATCCAGCTTCATCAATAAAGTCTACTGACTGCCTTCAACAACAGAGCCAGAATCAATCCACTTCTCACTACCTCTACTACTGATTCAAATATCATTTCTCATGATTACTACAATCACTTCCTAAAGGCCCCCACCCCCCTCAAATCTATTCTAAATACATGGAATTCTCCAGGCAAGAATATAGAAGTGGGTTGACATTCACTTCTCCAGGAAATCTTCCCGACCCAGGGATCGAACCCGGGTCACCTGCATTGCATGCAGATTCATTACCAGCTAAGCCACCAAGCGAGCCCCACTCAAGAGTAAAAACCAGTCTGCAAAAGGGCCCACGAGGCCTGACCTACTCGGACTTTCCGTGTCTTCCCTAGTTCATCCCCAAGTGCCTTCCCCTCCCAATTCCACTCTGACCACACGGGTATGCTCTGGTCCCGGCCTCTACACTTGTTTTGCTACCCATAGTGCTCTTCTCTAAACTGTGGCCTCCTCCCTTATTGCTTTTAATGTTTATTCTAGTATCACCTTCGGAGAAGGCAATGGCACCCCACTCCAGTACTCTTGCCTGGAAAATCCCACGGATGGAGGAGCATTGTAGGCTGCAGTCCATGGGGTCGCTAGGAGTCGGACACGACTGAGCGACTTCACTTTCACTTTCCCTTTCATGTATTGGAGAAGAAAATGGCAACCCACTCCAGTGTTCTTGCCTGGAGAATCCCAGGGACGGGGGAGGCTGGTGGGCTGCCATCTATGGGGTCTCACAGAGTCAGACATGACTGACGTGACTTAGCAGCAGCAGCAGCAAGATCACCTCACTGATGAGGTCTCCTCTAACCACTCTATTTTGAATTGCAACTCTTCCTGAGCAGTTTTTATCCCCTTCCTCAATTTTTCCTCCACAGAATTTATAACTTTTAATATACCTATTTATTTTGTTTACTGCCCGCTCCACACCCTCCCCTTCTACCAAAATAAAAGGTCTCTAAGACAAGAGATTTTTCCTCTCTCATTTACTGCCATGTTTCTGACACCACAAGCAGATTGGCACAAGGTTGACACTTAATAAACATCTGTGAAATGCTGCTGCTACTGCTAAGTCACTTCAGTCGTGTCCGACTCTGTGCAAGCCCATCCCTGGGATTCTCCAGGCAAGAACGCTGGAGTGGGTTGCCATTTCCTTCTCCAATGCAGGAAAGTGAAAAGTGAAAGTGAAGTCGCTCAGTTGTGTCCAACTCTTCGTGACCCTATGGACTGCAGCCTACCAGGCTCCTCCATCCATGGGATTTTCCAGGCAAGAGTACTGGAGTGGGGTGCTGTGAAATGCTAATGAATTATTAATGAACATTTGACAAAAGCCTGAAGAATCAAAGCAAAAGACCAAATTACACACAAAACTGACTCCAGGGGGAAAAAAAAGAGAAAAACTTGAGACACATCAGGGAACAGAAGAAAAGTATAAAAACAACAATTAAAACTTTCAGAAATCTTCAACAGACTGAATCAAGAGCATTAAAAATTCTAAACTTAAACTATTAGTACTGAAAAATTTCATACAAAAATTGGAAGATAAAAGAAACTGCCAGGAACACACAGAAAAAAAGAATTAAAGACAATACAAGGGCAAAAAGGCATTTCACAAAGTCTTAAGCTGGTAGGGCCAACATCTGACTAATGAGAATTCCAGGCAGAAAGAAATAAGGAAAACAGAGAGAGAAACTTTAAAGAACTATTACATGAAATTTTTTCAGAAGATAAGAGAATCAGAAGACCTTCAAACCAAGAGTCCATTTCAATTAAAAACATAGCTGGTGGAAATAATTCATAGAGTTTAGCATAAAGAAAACTCAAAGTGTTATGTAGAGAGGCTAACTAAACTAACAAACCCTATTTGGTTTTTGGAGATGTTTATGTACTAACTTTAAATAATAAGCACAGGTATCTTCCCTCCAGAGAGTGATGAAAATTTTTTAAAAAACTGAAAACCATAGCCCTAATATTATTATAGTCTCCAAAATTATGTTTAGTGATGGTTGTATATATATATTTTCATAAAAGATTACTGCACAAAAGAGGTTCTCAAATAATCAACCAAGTTTAATTCTATGCTAAATCTTCTAAAGCAAAAGGACTTTCATTTCCATTAAAGAATATATACAACTTTAAAGATGAAAACAGCATGTGTAGTAGTGTGCTTACCAACAGCAGCATTTAACAGTTATTTTGTAAAATCTCCTCATACAAGGATTATCTGAAAATGAGACATTAAATCATACCCACACCCACATACACCTACAAAAACTGAGTTTAGCTATTTGACCTACCTTACTCAGAGGGGCTTTGATTTTTTTCAAACACAAAGCAAGAAGATCCCTGGATTCTAATGCACACTGTACCCAAGTTCCTGGTGGCTGAAAATACCTGGGAGAAAAGGTACCATATTGAAACTCAGTATCTCTCAGGAAAAAAAAAAAAAAATTCCACTTAAATATGAAGACACAACAATGATTATTAACCAGATATAGTAATACTCAAGGTTGATCTGAGGCACTTAACCCAAATATATTTTAATAGGTTCAGAAACTTTCAATTAGACCAGTAGTTTAGTTAAAAAGGTGAAATTCTGAGTATTTGAGAAAGTCAATCTGTAATAACTTATTAAAAGGTCTTATTACTTCAAGCACCAATAAGAATTACAATGAGCACAAAATGCAAAGAATTTCCTGAAGCTATGTTCTGAAACATGGATAAAAACTCATCTCACAATAGCATTAACATGGTTTATAGTGTACAAATAAAATGCTTAAGAACTGCTTATTTCTCACACGCACAGAAAATGTAAATTAGTACCTAACACTATGTATAAATAAGACTACTCACCTACTTCAAATCCCTTTTCAGGTTTCCCTGATGTCTCAGACCCTAAAGAGTCTGCCTGCGATGCAGGGGACCCAGGTTTGATCCCTGGGCAGGGAAGATGCCTAGCGAAGGGAATGGCAACCCATTCCAGTATTCCTGCCTAGGAAACCCCACGGAGAGAGGAACATGGTGGGCTACTGGCCATGGGTTCACAGTCAGACATGACTGAGCAACTAACACATGAATCTTAGGTTTAATTTTCAAATTTGAAATTGTAAAATTTAAAATCTTATATAAAACCTGACTAAATTAAAATATTTTATATACGTACTTGAAGTCTTATAGCCCAACCAAGCAAGGAGTGAGGGCAGTGCTTAGCATATAGTAAATGTTCAACAAATGTTTGTTAAATACGTAATACTTCTAAATGCATTACGTGAATGCTTTGTTCACACTCAAGTAAATATTCTGATTTTCACTTTTAAAGGTTCACTGAAAAACCTTACTTACACACTGCCAAATTACTTTTAAATATAAGGTGCTTTTCTTTTTATAATAGCCAGGACATGGAAGCAACCTAGATGCCCATCAGCAGACGAATGGATGAGGAAGCTGTGGTACATATACACCATGGAATATTACTCAGCCATTAAAAAGAATTCATTTGAATCAGTTCTAATGAGATGGATGAAACTGGAGCCCATTATACAGAGCGAAGTAAGCCAGAAAGATAAAGACCATTACAGTATACTAACACATATATATGGAATTTAGAAAGATGGTAACGATAACCCTATGTGCAAAACAGAAAAAGAGACTCAGATGTATAGAACAGACTTGTGGACTCTGGGAGAAGGCGAGGGTGGGATGTTTCAAGAGAAGAGCATCGAAACACGTATATTATCTAGGGTGAAACAGATCACCAGCCCAGGTTGGGTGCATGAGACAAGTGCTTGGGCCTGGTGCACTGGGAAGACCCAGAGGGATTGGGTGGAGAGGGAGGTGGGAGGGGGGACCGGGATGGGGAATACATGTAAATCCATGGCTGATTCATTTCAATGTATGACAAAAACCACTACAATGATGTAAAGTAATTAGCCTCCAACTAATAAAAATAAATGAAAAAAATAAAAATAAAAAAATAAATATAAGGTGCTTTTTTATCATATATGGCTTCGAGTGGTTGAAGGGAAAAACAAAAACTTCATGGTAATTGGAACAGTTATGTCTTTAAAATCTGCTCTCACTCCTGAAAACATGAACTTTTATGTATTAATTATACATATCAAACCTTTTAATCGCTTAACAGAAAAAAACAGATTCAATCCCTTTATACTAACTTTACCACATTAGTAGGGAAAACTAGAAAAATACATTACAAAATTGCAAATTCTATAATCTCTAGCTTTGACACCATAAATAAAACTTAAATCTCAGTTACATGCACTTTAGTATATGTATCTTAATCTCACTATATTCTAATGGCTCTCCTATATGTGAATTTCAACTTTAAGTAGGATAAAAAAGTATCACACTATACCTTTGGCATTGTTTGCAGAAGGATATATAGACTTGTTTCGGAATGCCTTGGCTGATGTCTACTTTGCTTCGCAGACAAGCCACACAAATGTTAGCAGGATTTGGACTAATTGGGACACCACAGTCGCAGCACAAGCTTAAATAAAGCATACATTTTTTCAAGTTACATTTCATAAGTGTACTAGTTAGATTAAAAAACTAGCAAACAGGGATTAGCAGATACAAACTACTATATTTAAAATAAACAAGGTCCCACTGTATAGCACAGGGAACTATAATCAATACCCTATAATAAACCATAGTGGAAAAGAATATGAAATATATAACTGAATCACAGTTTATATATAAAACTGATCACACTGCAGTACAGCAGAAACTAACACAACATTGAAAAATCAACTATACCTCAATAAAAAAAAATAATAAAATTAACAAACAAACCAAAGTCTTCAAGTTAGGCCATAGTATCTCTGCCCTTTTTAAAAACCTGACTTTGAGCAATCTTCAAAGATGCACTAGATTTTTAAAAACCTTAGATTATTGAGGAAAACAAAAAGGATGGCCAAAATTCCAAAAAGCCTCAAAGTATGACATACACAAAAGGTTAAAAAAAAAGGGTCTAGAGAATCTAAATAACTGCTAATAGTAATCACTAGATAGCTTTATAGTCCACAGGCAAAAATTTTTTAAAGCCTCAATATAGCACTGGGACTGCCAAAATGTAAAAAGGATGGAAAAGTATCAGTATAACTCACGGCAGTGTCATAACCCTAGGTGTATTGGGAACAGAAAGTATTTAAAAACCATTGATGCTATCCAAAATAAGAGTTCTGTAACCACTAATGTCCACTATGGTAGCCACCAGGCATATGTGACTACTGAGGATTTGAAATATGGGTTATAGAAGAACTGAATACTTAGTTTTATTACATACTTGAAATTTAAAAAGCCACATATGGCCAATGGTTGATGCCAATCTAGAAGAATGTACAGAGACTAGACTATTTTAATACTTTTAAAACAGTATTTACCACAACAAACTTTCTAGCGAAAAATGAAGGAAACAAGGTTTTTCCTTTTTCCCACTTAAGACAAAAGAATCCCCCTAAAAGAAAAGCTTTCCCCACAGTAAATTTTAAAGACTCATTTTTAAGTTTTTATATTTAATGGGGATAGGGGAAAAGGGACGCGACTCACATATGTCCAGGTGTGTGCTTGACGGGTTCTGTCATATACTCCATTTTTCTATACACCTTGATTTCAAGGACAGAGAATAGTTAGATTCAGACATTTTTCTATTCACCCCTTTATACGAATCTTCCTTTTCTGTGTAAGACAGCCAAGCCTCGTACAGCAGCAAATAAGAAAAACCCATTCCACCTGCAACCTCTGGAAGAAGTAATTTCCTTAATAACAGAAGGAAGCGACTGGCGGAGGATCCCATATGCAAGACCCTCGTAGCCACGAATCTGGGCGCTGAACTCAGGTGTCACTTGGGCGCCAACCCTGGAAAACTCAAGAAGGGGCCAGAAACGGCCGGAGCCGTCCCGGACATCACCAGCTCCAAATCCTGCTGCGGACGCGCCTAGAACCCACTGCAGAAGACACCGCAGGCGGTGTCACCGGGCCTGCGGGCCACCCACCCCGACCTGACCCCGCACCCCGCGGATAAGACCTCATGCGAGCTCCTGCTGGCGGCGCACACGCTGCGCCCAAGCGGCCCGAAGTCGGCCCACGACCAGGGAGTCCGTCCCGGTCTCTTCTCAGAGACCCCCGAGACTGCAGCGCGGGGCTCGGCCACCAAAACTTACTTAACACCGCTGCGCCGGACCCAAACGTGCTCAAAACCTGGAGCAAGACCAGCTTCAGTAGCCCAGTGAGCCGCCGCCAGAGCTGACTCCAGTATAGTACAGATCTCGCGAGAGAAGGGTTCGAAATCCCGCGAGTCGCGAGACGAGACTCACAACTGCCGGTGGGGGCGGAGGAAGGGGAGGGCGCTGGAGAACGTTGGGCCGAGCGGAGGCCGAAAGGGTTGGATGGATCCAAGGGAGAAGTTGCTGGGCTCTCTCGTCCTGTGGCTCCTGAGATTTAACACAGACTACAGCTCTTCTATTGGGTTATCATCCTTCCTTGGCTAGAGCTCACTCGAAGCCACTATTTAGATATCTCTATTGGGAGCTTGCTTCTTGGTTAAGTGATTATATAAAAGTTAGCTGTTCACGGCACCACATTACACAAAGAAATTAAGAGTAACTTCCATCGAGGGCAGTGCCTTTGTCTGTTTTGCTCACCGTTTTATGCCTAGTGCCTGTCACAGCATAACTGCTCCAATGAATATTTGTTGAATAAATGAGAAAGAAAGGTAAGAATTATTTGTGAAGCAGTCTATGTTATTTTAAGACCACTCATTATTAGAAAAGAAAATTGCTCAGTCCTGTCTGACTCTTTGCGACCCCATGGACTATAACTTACCAGGCTCCTCTTGTCCGTGGGATTTTCCAGTCAAGAGTACTGGAGTGGGTTGCCATTTCCTTCTCCAGAGGATCTTCCTGACACAGGGATTGAACCCGAGTCTCCTGCATTGTAGGCAGACATTTTACCATCTCAGCCACCAGGGAAGCACATTATTAGAAAGTGCTCCCCAATAGTGCACTTAATGACTTTATACCTTGATCCTAGAGCAGCTCAGAAAGAATCTAATCACTCTTTCCTATGACAGAATTTCAAATATTTGAAGAGGGCAACCATTTTTTTTTCTGTCTTCTCACCCCAAATTTCAAAGAATAAGCAAGGTCACCTTGTGATCAGAGAAGGCCTGCCTTGTCTTGTGTAGGGAACTTAAGTAGTCCCCCATTCCTTCTCCTTATTTCCACACCCCATCCTTCCAAGGTATAAGTTTGATCTTGTTACACTCCCCTGCTTTTAATCCTTCAAAGGTCTCTGCTCTGGATTATTCAGTTCAGTTCAGTTCAGTTCAGTTGCTCAGTCGTGTCTGACTCTTTGCAACCCCATGAACTGCAGCCTGCCAGGCCTCCCTGTCCATCACCAACTCCCGGAGTCCACCCAAACCCATGTCCATTGTGTTGGTGATGGCATCCAACCTTCTCATTCTCTGTCGTCCCCTTCTCCTCCTGCCCCCAATCTTTCTCAGCACCAGGGTCTTTTCAAATGCGTCAGCTCTCTCCATCAGGTGGCCAAAGTATTGGAGTTTCAGCTTCAACATCAGTCCTTCTAATGAACACCCAGCGCTCATCTCATTTAGGATGGACGGGTTGGATCTCCTTGCAGTCCAAGGGACTCTCAAGAGTCTCCTCTAACACCACAGTTCAAAAGCATCTATTCTTTGGTGCTCAGCTTTCTTTATAGTCCAACTCTCACATCCGTACATGACTACTGGAAAAACCATAGCCTTGACTAGACGGACCTTTGTTGGGAAAGTAATGTCTCTGCTTTTTAATATGCTGTGTAGTGTAGGGGGGTCATAACTTTCCTTCCAAGGAGTAAGCGTCTTTTCATTTCATGGCTGCAATCACCATCCGCAGTCATTTTGGAACCCAGAAAAATTAAGTCAGCCACTGTTTCCACTGTTCCCACATCTATTTGCCATGAAGTGATGGGACCAGATGCCATGATCTTAGTTTTCTGAATGTTGGCCTTTAAGCCAACTTTTTACTCTCCTCTTTCACTTTCATCAAGAGACACTTTAGTTCTTCTTAAGAACTATAAGGGTGGTGTCATCTGCATATCTGAGGTTATTGATATTTCTCCCAGCAATCTTGATTCCAGCTTGTTCTTCTTCCAGCCCAGCGTTTCTCATGATGTACTCTGTATATAAGTTAAATAAGCAGGGTGACAATATTCCACCTTGATGTATTCCTTTTCCTATTTGGAGCCAGTCTGTTGTTCCATGTCCAGTTCTAACTGTTGCTTCCTGACCTGCATACAGATTTCTCAAGAGGCAGGTCAGATGGTCTGGTATTCCCATCTCTTTCAGAATTTTCCACAGTTTATTATGATCCACACAGTCAAAGGCTTTGGCATAATCAATAAAGCAGAAATAGATGTTTTTCTGGAACTCTCTTGCTTTTTCGATGATCCAGACAATGTTGGCAATTTGATCTCTGGTTCCTCTGCCTTTTCTAAAACCAGCTTGAACATCTGAAAGTTCATGGTTCACGTATTGCTGAAGCCTGGCTTGGAGAATTTGGAGCATTACTTTACTAGCGTGTGAGATGAGTGCAATTGTGCAGTAGTTTGAGCATTCTTTGGCATCACCTTTCTTTGGGATTGGAATGAAAACTGACCTTTTCCAGCTCTGGATTATTACCCATATGGAAAATTCAAATTTCTTTGCATAGCAAAAAGACCCTTCAGGATCTGGCCTGGACATAACCTGTCACATTCCTAAGCACACAGCCAGACAAGCCAACTGGCAGGACTTGCAGGAACTAATCTTCCTTTTCTGGCCTATCTGTGAACACAAGCCACGTTCTGAATGTCTGGGGCTGTTCCTTTTTTCCTTCTCAATACACTGCTTCCATACTGTGTTTGATTTGTCACCAAGTGCCATAGTGCCAGGTTTGTTAGGCATTAGTTCAGCTCAGACATGGTCCCTGCCCTCATGGAGCTTATGTGTTACAGGTAAGGCTGATATTTCCAAACAACTAGGTAGCTTGTTGAGAGTGCTGTAGCAAGTAAGAGGCAGAACCAGGACCGGAACAACAGTTTGTCTACGTCTGTTTCCATGTGCCACTATACCAGGCTCCCAGCCCATCTGAGGCTCAGATCAGCTATTCTTATTCATGGCCTTTTTTTTTTTTTTTCAAGAAACTCTTTATTTTCCATCCACCTTATTTACATTTTCTGTTAAAGAGTATGTGAGGCAGCCGTGTAAGACCGCTGTGGCTGTTCCTCCTGGGTCAGTGGTCTGAGCCGCGGCAGTTGCAGACCAGCCCTCAGAGGCAGGCAGAGTGCAATGGCCCTCCAGGAGAGGCTGCTGGCAGGCAACGAGGCCACCTCTGCCTGCAGACCCTGTCCCTGCAGACCGTCTGCAACTTGGGGTTGAGTAGAAATAAACTCAGGACCTGGAGTGATTCATTCACCCTGAAATTCCTCCTGAGTCTCAGCCTTATCAGCACCACCTGCTCCTCCTTTTCAGTCTCTTCAGGATCCCTGGTGAAACAGAGACAGGACCTGACCTCGCACAGGTGTGCGCCTGAGACGGATCCTCACAGGCGCAGAATCCCCAGGCCGGCATGGCCACATCAGAGCCCGGGAGCGCCTCTCTTGCTGTGGGGGTGGCGGGGTCCACACAGCACCGGGGAGAGTCCGTGTGACCTGGCACAACAGTAGGCGGGTTACTATAAGACGCCTCTGTGAGATTGGTGGTCAGTCCTGGGGTCTGTAAGCACAGAAGACAGGGCAGAAGCTGCCTGCATCAGGTTAGTGATGCTTACAGGAGTGGATGAAGCACCCCACAGTGGAAGTAGCTCCCGAGGCAGCAGCAAACTTACACAGCTTGGCTGAATGGCCAGCATTCCTGGAGCACGTGATTCTGGCATCAGCTGGGTTTTCAATGTCACAAGGGCATGAGCTGCCAGCAGAAGCTTCTCCCAGGTTCTCTTCAGATTCACAAGGTAACGCCATCACTTTTCCTTTTGTAGATGTGCTATCCCGTTAGGAAGTCATGTTGGCACCCCCTAACTGGGCTCCGCTGTGAGGGATTTGAGGACATTTTCCTCCTTCGTTTGCAGGCCCTCAAGGGCTCCAGATATTGTGAAATTTTCCCTCCGAAATTACAAGGGAGCATGTAACCACACACCACAAACATGACATTGATATAAATATTTTAAAAAATTGTATCAGAATCCATAAAATCTCTTTCTTGACCAATTAAGGTAAATATAAATATTTTCATCAGTTTTGTTTTAGCTTACAACATTACTTTCTTGGAGACCCTGGTTCGATTCCTGGGTCAGAAAGATCCGCTGCAGAAAGGTTAGGCTACCCATTTCAATATTCTTGGGCTTCCCTTGTGGCTCAGCTGGTTAAGACTCTGCCTGCAATGTGGGAGACCTGGGTTGAGAAGATCCCCTGGAGAAGGGAATGGCTACCTGCTCCAGTATTCTGGCCTGGAGAATTCCATGGACTACAGTCCATGGGGTCACAAAGAATCTGACACGACTTTCACTTTCACTTTTCTTGAAGACAAATTGAATTAAGTGTTTAAAAGTAAAGTTTT